GAGCAATTTTGACCTACTATTGGTCCAGATGACGCATCTGATTCCTATAATTGAGACTGAAGGAAAAAAAAAAAGGCTTTCTATTTCTTCCAGCACGTTTAATTCCTTACATTTGACAGCTCTGTGTGTGTATCAGTCGGGCTTTTTTCGGGCTAAGGTGAAGGAATTTTTCAAGAATGAAAAGCTGTAACTGCTTTGGACCAAAAGTCACGGAGGAGGCTCACATGTAGGGATGGTGGCTGAAAATATCTGGGTATTTCCCCACCATCGCCTTTTAAATGTCCAGCAGCTGCTGAAGTTGTTTTCTGGGGAGTGACAAGTAGGAATTTTGAAAGAATAAAATATGAATAAGACCGACTCCAGCTTGTGATCTAACAGGAGATTCCTGACGCTGCAGGGTCAGTGGTCTTCCTTTTCCCTTTCCCTCTCCTCTTCCTCTTCTCTTTCCCCTTCTTTTTCCCCTTCCCCTCTACTTTCCCCCCATTCAAACCTGAATTTACACCAGCTGAACTCGACAGAAATTCTCCGGTTTCACACGGGATAAGCAGGAGGCACTGACTTGGATGAGAAAGCCTCGTATGAAGTAAGGATTGCAAGAGCAAGCCTGAAACCCTCCCTGTCTGGGTAATGAAGCGTGCTGGCAGTTATTAGGTTTAGATCTTTCTGTAGGCAGCATATTGATGGAGAAAGTGCTGTGTATACAGTTGTTTATTTGCAAAAAAAAGGTAAAAAAAAAAAAAATTCTATTAAAATCCCGCACCTCTGGGACTGTCTTTGAAAGGCATGTGATGTGACTCCAAGAGAGAAGTGATCAGCCTGTAATAATTTAGATGTTCCTGTTGCTATGGAAACTTTCTTTTTTTTTTTTTTTTAAAAAAAAAAGAAGCATACCATTGTAATTTAAATTTCCAGTAAGAAAAAAAGGTAGAATATTAAAAGTAATAAAAAATGCCAGAGACATAACTGTTTTATTCTTTACTGTCAGTTTTACTTGTGCCGTGACAGTATATAGAAGTGATAAAATTGCCACGTCTGAGGAGATTTAGGACTTTTACACGTTTTATTACATTAATTAGACCTGGGGCTCATCCATACCAGCCTGTGAGACAGGCAATAGCCCAGTGACAGGCCTGGTGCTGGGATGTCACATTAAAATTCATGACACAGAGCGGGGAGAGGGAGGAGGGTTGTGGCTAAAAACAAAACCTGACAAGTTTGGGGGCTGTTATGGCAAGATTTGGGTCGGGAGATGGAAACACAAAGGTAGGAGCCAAACAACTCCCTGCAAAGTAGCCTCATCAAAGCTTTTAAGCACAAAGCTTTGCCCCGAGTGGTGTTCCCATCCAGGGGATCATTAAGGGCCGAGACAGAAACTCCTGCTGTGGTTTGATGCTCTGCTGTGGTTTGCAGCCAGAGCGTCGGGGAAACTCAGCCCTGGGACCCTTTTCCTCCCGTGCGGAGGCTGGAGCTTGTGCTGGGGAAGAAATCCCTGATAGGGATGGCTGGGAGGGTGAAAAAAAACCCTTGGAGGCAAAAAGTGAGAGATCTGGACCTGAGTCTGCAGAGCAGCCGGAGGCTGGAGCTTGTGCTGGGGAAGAAATCCCTGATAGGGATGGCTGGGAGGGTGAAAAAAAACCCTTGGAGGCAAAAAGTGAGAGATCCAGACCTGAGTCTGCAGAGCAGCTGGTTTGAAAGGAGGGGAAGAGGAATCCTTAGGGCATCAGCCCCTCTGCCCGGAGAGACACCGTCTCGGTGATGCTCTGGGGGTGTGTTTGCTGCTGATAGCCCCAAACAGAAACCGGGATGGCAAAAGTTTGGGCCAAAATTTTGCTGCTGATAGCCCCAAACAGAAACCGGGGTGGCAAAAGTTTGGGGCAAAATTCCACCCCTGGAAGTGTTCGAGGCCAGGCTGGATGGGGCTTTGAACAACCTGGGTTGGTGGGAGGTGTCCCTGCCCAGGGCAGGGGGGTTGAACTCGATGATCTTTAAGGTCCCTTCCAACTCTAACCATTCTATGAAACAAGGTGCCTGGGGGATAAATTGAAAGACAAGGAAGGTAGCAAGGTTTTTGGTATCTAAATACTGTTTTTCTCACCTCGTGGTTCAAAAGACTCATGTCAGGGAGGAGAAGGCAGCAGAATTACCCTCTCATACTGCAGCGTAAAGTGGGTGGCTGTCTGATTTCAGCCATGACCAGTAACGTTCCTACCCCGTTACCTCAGCCAGGACAAGAGTCTTGGCCTGAGTTTGTGAGTTTTAAAGCCAAGCTTTTAAATTCCATATTTCTCCCTTTTGCTTATCTTTTCCAAGCTCCAAGTAGCAGCTGGGCGAGTGAGAAATCACAGGAGTCAGCAGGGATTTTGGAGCCAGAACTTGACGGGGTTGACGTTCCACAACCTGACTCTTCCCCCACCATGACATTTCCTCCTGGAGGGTGAGGAGCAACCCCCCGAGGTGGGAATGGGGAGGTTGGTGATAATCCCAAGGTGGGAATGGTGAGGTTGGTGATAATCCAACCCGAGGTGGGAACGGTGAGGTTGGTGATAATCCCGAGGTGGGAATGGTGAAGTTGGTGATAATCCCAAAGTGGGAACGGTGAGGTTGGTGATAATCCCAAGGTGGGAACGGTGAGATTGGTGATAATCATCAGGCACAACCCGAGGTGGGAACGGTGAGGTTGGTGATAATCCCGAGGTGGGAACGGGGAGGTTGGTGATAATCCAACCCGAGGTGGGAACGGTGAGGTTGGTGATAATCATGCCTGGCTCCAGGAAGGGCAAAGGGACTGGAGGGAGGGCTGGAAGGCGGCAGAGTCCCTGCCAGCGAGCGCAGCCGGTCCCTGCACTCCCACACTGGGTTGGCTGGCACGACCTGGCTCCTGCAACTCCTGACGGCTTCCAAAATCCCTCCAGGGGGGAATAAGGAATGAGGATCCAACGGCAGCGACACATTTCTGCGCTCACAGCTGGGACCCACAGCTTTCCAGGCGGGTTCATGCCCCCGGGAGATGCTCGATGCTGCCAAAGGTGACCGGCGCCAGCCGGGATGGAGAAGGGCCGGGCTCTGGCTGCCGGCGCCGGGCTGTGGGCCAGCACTGGCCCATGGTGGCACGTGGCCCCGTAGCCGAGCTCTAATCCGCTTTTCTGGGCAGAGCAGAGGGTCCCTCTGGCTCCTTTGGCCCAGGGAGCCGCTGAGGAGCCAGGAGTGAGAAACAATAGCTGCTGACACAGATCAGAGCCCAGCGGAGACGGGACTGAGCGTGTGTCCAGCATGAGAGGCCGGTGACAGTAAATTAACCAGCACTTGGTCATTAATTACCTTCTACCTGCACATTCCCTGTGCAACTGCTTCCCATCTTCCTGCGCTTCCTACAGCTGCTTTCTGGCTCCGGTTCTCTGGCCCCGTTTCCACTCCTATCATCTCGGAAGGCTTCCTCTTCCTGCAGCTCTTAATGACTTGACATCCCTTCTTTTTGTAAAGCCAGTATTTCTTCTCGGAGCCAAGAACCAGCTGGAGATGTTTGCTTTTAGCAGGGAAGAAAAATAACAACCAACCCCCAGCAACCCACAACGCTGTTTCCCATTATCCTTCCCCTGGGCTTTAGAGGAGAGGTGCTAAATAAATGAAGTAATGCAATATTAAGACTCCCTCTGTCGTAAGCGGTACCCGCTAAATTGCTCCCAGTCAGATGCTGGCTTCTTGCTAAAAGGACTTTAGAGCCGAGGGCTGGAAGCTGAGGCCCCACTCACTCATGGCTCGTTAGTTCTCTGGCCCCGTTTCCACTCCTATCATCTCAGAAGGCTTCCTCTTCCTGCAGCTCCTAATGACTTGACATCCCTTCTTTCTGTGAAGCCAGTATTTCTTCTCGGAGCCAAGAACCAGCTGGAGATGTTTGCTTTTAGCAGGGAAGAAAAATAACAACCAACCCCCAGCAACCCACAACGCTGTTTCCCATTATCCTTCCCCTGGGCTTTAGAGGAGAGGTGCTAAATAAATGAAGTAATGCAATATTAAGACTCCCTCTGTCGTAAGCGGTACCCGCTAAATTGCTCCCAGTCAGATGCTGGCTTCTTGCTAAAAGGACTTTAGAGCCGAGGGCTGGAAGCTGAGGCCCCACTCACTCATGGCTCGTTAGTGACGGGTAATTTCATCACCTTCTGGCCCCGTGGTCACTGGTGGGGGCTCCCGGGTCGCCCCGTGCTGGGGACAGGGAAAGCTTCTATGTCATCCCAAGCCCATGTGGCATCTTGCTCTGCTCCAGAATCCAACGGGGCTTGTGCTGCCTCTGCAGGAGCCCAAAGGGACCCTGGTGGCACACGCAGGTTAAAGCCCTTTCTCAGCATCCCTGGATGAGTTTCTCCACATCATTCCTAGGAGCAGTGGGGTGAGCTGGTTCCTGCAGGAGCCGCTGGCTCCGAGCTGGCATCCAGCAAAGGCAGGAATCACAGGGGGAGGCTGAGTACCCAGGGCAGCGCCGGCCTCCCGGGGATGTTTTTATTTAAAAGGCAGCTGTACAAATTAAAACTCCCCCCCACGGGAGAAGCGCTTTGCATAGCGACTCAGGAACTCTATCAATTAAGAGATTTGGGGTTTTGATGTTACCACCACCGCGTTCACCCGCAGATGAGCCCGAAGCACCAACCTCCCTCTTCTCATCCCGTCATCCCTGTCCCCAGAGGCCAATCCAGCGACGCAGGGGCTCAGAGCAGAAGGGAAGGTGGTCGTTGTCCATCCCTCTGTGCATCCCACCTGGCCATATCCAGTCCTGTAAGCCTTTTCCAGAGGCAGCACTGCAGGGTACTACCGACCTGCTGCCACCTTCCCACTGGATGGTGCTGGGAAAAGTCTTCTGATGGACACAAACCTCCTGTGGACATTTCCAGTCACTCGCTGTTGTGCGTCGAGGGAGATGGAGAATTCAACCAGCTAGAAATACAAAAACTTCTACACATGAAAAGGACCACGGTAAAAGTCAAGTGACCCAGCACAGACACTCCAAAAAATGGTAGACGTTTTATTTTCCTCAGTACAGGTATTCTTTACAGCAGAAGGTTTTCTTAAAAAACTATATACATAGACATATAGTACTGTGCATTTCGGTATATGCTCCTAGAGTCTCGAGAAAAGGAGAAAGATCAACCTACAGAGAAATCCTCACGGTCCATTCCTGCGACCCAAGCTCTTTCCAAGGAGGATCACCCCTCGCCGGGGCTGGGACGAGGTGCTTCCCACAACCACTTCTGTGCAGTTTTGGTGTCCCTTATGCCATGGGTTCACGTCCCTACCATGTGCCTCTGTAGCACCAACAAACTTTGAATAATTCCTTCGATCGCGAGAGACTGATGCTACACACGAGATCAAAGAAGTCACGGGCAGGGTAGTTTCAAGATGTAAAATTGCTTTAAACACAATTTTGCCAGATAAACAGAGCACACATTTTATTAAGAGACACGATGACTCAGCTTCACAAGTCCTCGACACCTTCTCACAAGAACACTTAGGGAAAAAATAAAAATAAAAAATCAAATCTAAGTTAGAGTCACTCAGCTGTTTCCTAATAAATTCGTACAGCTGACAAAGAGGTTTTTATTTTTTTTTCCTGCGAGCAGTTTTAAGAGAGTTATAAAGAGCTATCTGGGGAATGAATTAGTGTTTCAAAACCAAGTTACAAATCTATAAAACAGATTAGTATACTTCACATAAGGCCACAAACACTGCAAACTGTCAGTGCGACTATTTAGGATCATTAAACTTAATCTTTTAATTAGCATAAGCTTTATACCTCCATTACTTATTGCCAATTCCAGGAGCTGCCAAAGACACTTCCCGAGCTCCCGGGAGAGGTGGCTGGGGGGGCGGGGGGGACACAGGAGCCCCCCTTGTTAATTGAACATCCAGGTATCGGTCTGGCCTAATCCGATTCCCTTCGAGTCGTATCGAGTGAGCGACGACCAAACGGTCCTGAGACAGTAAAAAGGCACGCACGGGCAAATCCACTTAGAGGAGCTGAGAACAGAGATCTATCGTGCTGCTGGGGAACCCACAACTTCCAACCCCCATCAGCAACACTAATTAATTGTCAACCCCCACTTCCCCCTGGTGGTTCTGCTCTTAAAGCCAACGGAGCCTTGGTGTCCCCGAGTCGCATCAGGAACGGAGCACGTGAGCGGTCAGTTTTGAAACGGGTCTGCAGCATCGCTGGGTTGGGGTTTGGTTTGTTGTTGGGGTTTTTTTGGGTAAATAGCTTGCGAAGAGAAGTTCCAGGCACTGCTTACCTTGACAATCCGGACCATCGCTTTCAGTTTTGAGTTTTAAAGTGCAAAACTTTCAGAGAGTCTTTGGGTTAAATAAACAAAAGCGTCGATTCCCCCCAGGGAGCTGGTGAAGAAAGAGCCGGGACACGGAGGGGAGATTGACAAGTGTGAGAGGATCACGGACATTCCCAACAAAAGCAAGATCTCTGCCACCTCTTGGATTTTAACGCTGGGGGCAGCTGCTGCCAATCTCCTCCCCCTGCCTCGGCAGGTGATGCGTTGTTCAAGAAACAGTGGATTAGTAACAGTTGTGCTGGCAATCGCCTCTGCATCTGCAGATCTTTGTCTAGAAAAGTGTACACAGAGAGACTTTGGTGTTGCATAGTCTTGTTTTCAGAGAGGAACAGGCACTGCTGAAGGTTCTTCCACGGTCTATTGCCACCTAATACTGTAGATGCCCTACACACCTTCCAATAATATATATATGTAAACTGTAACGGCTATGAATAAATATGCTCAAGAGCATCTCGTGGTTTAGATAAAAGCAAGGTATAAAAATCTGCATTAGATTTCTAAAGCTTTGGTCTAAACTGTGCTGTAACGTCAGCTGACTTGGTGAAGAGCCCTCAGAAGGGTCCCCTTGCGAACAGCACCCGGCACGGCGTGACTCAGTCCACGGACTTCTAGTGGTTACTCAATTCGACGTGTTTCACCTCAGAACATGAACAGATCGTCCTTCTCGCCCGCGGTGGAATCCATTTTGTTCCAGTCCACAGGTGAGAGCGTCTCCGCGCTCTGGATGTCCTGAGCCGTCAGCCCCGTGTCGAGGACGTGGGGGTTCGTCCTCGACTGAGCCAGTCTGAGAAGGGGAGAGAAACACAAATTAAGGACACCCCATCCCTCCAGCTCACAGCCCGGATGCTCCCTGCATCCCTACTGCCCGACCCGAGCTGTGGGTCCACATTTCCCCATCCTCCAGCTGAGTGAAATAACTCAGTCTGGGGGGGAAGCTGGCACATTCCCAGCTCCTTCACGTCTCCTGCAGCTTGGCTGCTGGTTTATCCCAACGTTTCCCCCACAGGCATCCAAGGAATTTGCAGCCTGGATGTCCCGTAAATTAATGGTCTGGGCAGAACAGCACCAGTTTCCTCCCCCCCAATGGCGGGTGCATCGTTTACCAGGGTCTTATCTCAGCATAAAGGCTCCTTGGCCAAAGGAGCAGCCTCCCTGAAATGTCTCTATTTCCCCTCAAACTCCCCAGCCCAAGCGTTTAACTCCTTAAGACACAACAGGCCTCGGATGATGCTGAAGAGTCCCCCCCCGGGGTCAGCTTTAAAAGGTTTTCATCCCAACCCATCCCAGCCCTTTGGCAAAACCTAACAAGCCCCAGTTTGTTGTTGTGTTATTAAATACCTCCCTGAAAACCTAACAGCGCAGCATCCATTCTCCCAGGGCCGAGAGGTTAACTCAAATATTTGGTGTTTCATCCAGGGGAGGCACGGCCTGGAATAAGCCTCGGATTAAAGCCGCCGCCGCGCACGTTTTTTTAATAAAAAAGAAAAACGAGCAGCCGTGATGCTGCGGCAGGAAGGCTCTCAGAAGCATCTGCCTCGGCGGACGAGCAGCCCAAAGACTGAGTCACCAGAAGGCCAAGGGGGATGTGACAGCTCGGGTGTCCAGCAATGCCAAACAAAAGGCCACAACCAGCATCATCTGCTTAATTAAAAGTGGAACGAGGAAGAGAGGTGAGGAAAACAGACGACGTTAAGACATAAATTCAAGCGGCCCCTTTATGGACTTGGGACCCGGCTACCGGGGAAGTGGAAGCTGTAAATCATTCCCAAGAGCCAAACAAGGCACCAAGGTCTGTTTCCTTAGGGCTGAGTGTGTGGTTTTTGTGCTGCTGCAAAGCCTGGGGGAGGCTGGTGGCTCTCGGGGAGGTGACGGCGTCGGGCTCAGTCCTGGTGCTGCCCAACTCCTTCCATCGGCACCTCCCGGCTGGAGGAAGGGTCCTGGCAGCTCTCTGAGCCTGGAGCATCAGCACCCACGGCACCTCTTTGCCCAAATTGTGGCCTCCACAGCCCACGCTGCCCACACAGTGGTAGGGTGGCTTCGTGTGTGCTCACCTGGAGGATGGGACCCATGAAAAGTAGAGCTGGAGGACAGGCTGGGAGAGTTGGGGGGGTGAAGCCTGGAGAAGAGAAGGCTCCAGGGAGACCTTAGAGCCCCTTCCAGTCCCTCAAGGGGCTCCAGGAAAGCTGGGGAGGGACTCTGGATCAGGGAGGGGAGCCATAGGAGGAGGGAGAAGGTTTTTACACTGAAAGAGGGGAGACTGAGATGAGATGTGGGGAAGAACTTGTTTGCTGTGAGGGTGGTGAGAGCCTGGCCCAGGTTGCCCCGAGAAGCTGTGGCTGCCCCATCCCTGGAGGGGTTCAAGGGCAGGTTGGAGGGGGCTTGGAGCAAGCTGGGCTGGTGGGAGGTGTCCCTGCCCAGGGCAGGGGGTGGCACTGGATGGGCTTTAAGGTCCCTTCCAACCCAAACCATGCTGTGATTCTACCATTCCCATCACCCCACAGAGGCCGTGGTGAGGACAGACAGGAAAACTCATCTGAAACAAACCGGGTTTGTTTAACATTGCTGGAGAGCTCGGTGTGTGTGTGCAGGAAAGCTCTGATTTGGGTTGGGAAATGAACTGAGCCACGTGAAGCTACAGCCACGAACTCAGAACATGCCCAGGTGCACGAATCCCACGTGGGCACATCAAGAGTCGAAGCTCTGATTTGGGTTGGGAAATGAACTGAACCACGTGAAGCTACACCCACAAACTCAGAAACGTGCCCAGGTGCACGAATCCCACATGGGCACATCAAGAGTCAGGCTGATGCAACCACCCTGCAATGGTGATGGTGGAGCAGGGAGGCTGCTGGTTTGGGGACAGATGGGAACCAACTCCCAGGGTTCATCCAAACCTCACAGAGGGAGGAGGAAGCATAGACACCCCGTGCCAAAAGCTGGGACCATGGTTAGCACAGGGGCTGGAAAGAGCAGCCTCAAACCACCCTGGCAAGCAGGAGTGGACACATTAACTGCTTGGGGAATTGAATTCCCTGTTACAGACAGCCTCTCTCCATCCTTAAAAGGTTGTCAAAATATTTGGCTTATCAGCCAGCCTCCAAGCCTATCTTTCAATTAACAGCTGAGGCACTGATGGGGCAGCTCCCTAGGTCAGATCACGGAGGCTGATTAGATTAGAAGCCTTATTAAAAGCCAGTCACTAGGCTGGTCCCCGGGTGGCGTGAACTTGTAAAGGGAGTTATTAGAATTACCTTGAAAACGCCTCGTCGAGACCATCATCCATTTCCTTTTTTAAAGAGATAAAAAGAGAGAGAAGTAGTTGCTAAGAGAACGCACCAAAGTGTATTTAGAGATCCGGCTCTGCACTTGAGCACGAAATACATACATACATACATATATATATACACTGACTTGTGAGTGCCTAAAGCAACACTCCTCTCAGTGCTCTGACTCCTGGGGCAGGTTTTATCTCACTTTTATCTTTTATGCCACCCCAGGACAAGCCCCAGGGTATGAGGCGTAACTCCAGGTGGCCCAGGCTTCCTCAGAGCAGGTCCCAGGGCTCAGGTGAAGGATGCTGCACTCCCCTTGCTGCCCCAGGGATGGGGCAGGGGCTTGGCCCTTTCCCACCATCTCCAAACCAGGATAATTCCACCCCACCACCCGCTCCAGCTGGATCTGGCCCATCAGCTGGATGTCATCCCTCTCTGGGGTTAACCATGGCCCTCGGTGCTTCCAGCTCCCCACCACGTGCCGAGGGATCCTGCTAAGAGGAGGGACCAGAACAGAGCTCGGGAAGATGCTCCAGGCATCCCTCAGGGATTTTCTGGATGAGGAACCCAGAAAGCAACTCTGCAGCAGCACAGATGGAACCTGAGCTCCTTGGAAGCAGCTCTGGGATCCTTCATCTCTGATCTGCTCTTATGGTTTCCCAGGGAAAGCCTCTGAGCTGCCTGGGGGAGAAAGGTTCCTTGTGCAGGAAGATGGGCTCTGGGCGAGGGCTTTGCTACGGCCAGACTCGACTATTCCCAAAATCTTGTGATGTACTCACAGACTTAATGTAATATGTAAAGTATGAAAACTCTGTGAGAAGGGAGGGATCGGAGAGTGCTGATAAGCCTCCAGGATTTGGTATGACTTAGAACTGATCTTCAGGTTTAACCTGAAAAGCCTCAAGCTCAGACCCGGCAGACTCAAGAAAAAGGCTCCAGGCAAAGGCCTTTATCATTCAATTCTCCAAAATTTAGCACACAGTGCGTTTCCAGGGAGGGCACGTGGTGGGGACGAGGTCCCAGGTCAAGTGGGGCTTCAAAGATCGGTCCCAGGCCGGTTGGTGACACAGCACTTGGGCACAGAGGAGGCTCCCCAATGGCTGCACACCCAGGCAAATGGTCTGGGTCATTATTTTTCTATTAGTAATCCACGAAACAATTAAGCCAGATGACTGAGGACATTTTAGAGAAGCCATCCATGCTCACACAATCATGATACAGCCGCAAACAAGAACAAGGGAAAAAATAAAGAGTAATAACGAACATAAATATAACCTGGTTTTAGTGAACAGTAAACAAAAGCCACCAACTTAATGATTTTTTTCCTCCTGAAGAGAGCAGTGAGGTGGTCCCTCAATTAAGTGACAAACCACTGAGAAGTGCTGCTTGAGAATAAGTAATATTCAATTATCTGACAGCGGCGTTTCTCGGAGCGCCTCACCATCCCCATCATTTATTTATGGAGCCTGAGAAGAGCAGGAGACACTCCAACACTGAGCGATCATTTCAAGTAGGACATGGAAACCCAACTCACCTGGGCATCTCCAAAACCCTGCCTGAAGGGCTCAGCCCCCCAGAGCTCCCCGGGGCGGGTTTATCAAAGAAAAAGCCCCCATGATGGGACCTGGAACACATGAAATGGAGGTGGCATCTCTCCCCTCCCCGGCCGGGCAGACACACACTTACCCACACCACGTTGTTATTTACGGAGGAGCTGGGCCCAAAGATGCTGTTGTCTAAGTGTGGGGAGTTTGTGCTGCTGGTCAGGGGCGATTTGGCAGGATCTTCTAAATCCAGCAAGTTCCCTGTGGCTGCTGCTGTGAAGGGAGAGGAGAGGGAATGAGGCAGGGGAGGGGAGGACAGGGATGACACGAAACCCAGCCTTTTTGCAGTAATCACTTCCCCTCAAGAGGGGAATGAAAAGGTCCCATCAAATTCTTTCAGGATGGCCCCAAATTTTAGCCCGGAGGAGCTGCAGTCACTGAATTTTTAGAGTTGGAAGGGACCATAGAGATCATCTAGTCCAACTCCCCTGCCAAAGCAGGACCACCCAGAGCTTGTCAGAGCATGTTACTCAGGAGCATCCAGGTGGGTCTTGAAAATCTCCAGAGAAGGGGACTCCCCACCCTCCCTGGGCAGCCTCTTCCAGGGCTCTGCCACCCTCACTGTGAAGAAGTATTTCCTCATATTTGAGTGGAACCTCTTCTGTTCCAACTTGTGCCCGTTGCCCCTCGTCCTCTCACTGGGAACCACTGAAAAGAGTCTGGTTCCCTCCTCCTTCAACCCTCCCTTGAGATGCTTGTCAGCATTGATAAGGTCTCCCCTCAGCCTTCTCTTCTCCAGACTAAGGATTACCAGCTCTCTCAGTCTTTCTTCATCAGGGAGATGCTCCAATCCCTCCATCATCTCTGTTGCCCTACACTGGACTCTCTCCAGCAGTTCCCTGTCCCTCTTGAACTGGGGAGCCCAGAACTGGACACAGGATTCCAGTTGTGGCCTCCCCAGTGCAGAGCAGAGGGGAAGAATGACTTCCCTTGACCTGCTGGCCACACTCTTCCCTACACAGCCCAGGATCCCGTTGGCTTCTTGGCCACAAGAGCACACTGCTTGCTCATTGTCATTTTGCTGTCCACCAGGACCCCTAGATCTTTCTCTACAGAGCTGAGACATCCCACCCCAGCGTTGGCCTCTTGGCCACAAGAGCACACTGCTTGCTCATTGTCATTTTGCTGTCCACCAGGACCCCTAGATCTTTCTCTGCAGAGCTGAGACATCCCACCCCAAGACATCCCAGCCCCAAGGTGGGAACAGACCCTGGACGATACCTCAGCTCAGCCCATCCATCAATTCAGCTTCTTACAAAGATGCATCATTATTTCCTAGGACCCAGGGCAAATCCTGCACTGGGTGAAGACCAGTTGACAGCTCGGGGGCTGCTGGTCTCCCGCAGGCTGGGTCGGTCCAGGGAAGCCTCAAATCCTCCCCATCACCCCGCAGTGAGGGCAGAGGCAGCAGAGCCCCAGCTGCAGAGCATCCCCCAGGCAGATGCTGGAGCCCAACCCTACACCCGTGCCAGCCCCGGGCTTCGTTTCTCCTGATGTGCCACCGCTTGTGACAGATTCCTCCAGTCCTGGCCCTTCACATGAAGAAAGGAGATGTGCCACCCTGGAAGGAAGCCCGGTTTAATGCTCTTTTCCTCCGTGCCAAATCCTCTTATCTCCACGGCCAGCACGGAAGAGAGATTAGCCTTTTGTCCCACTTCTCCCCAGCTTCACAGCCCGCATTTCAGAGGCAGCAGAGGACCACGAGGAGGCACTGAATTAGGAGGGGTTTTACTATTTAATTGCTTTATTTTCACGCACCTCTCCTTCCTTAGGGGAGCTGGAGGCAGAGTGGCACCTGGATGTCCATCTCCTTCACCCGATGGGATGGCAAGTCTTTTGGGTCTAAGGCAGCCCCAAAATCAAGCTCAGGGTGTGCAGGTCCACGCTAAGCCCGTAAGGATGCTATGGCCAATTTGCCTCGGGCAGAATTAAAGAGGTTTGGGGTGGCAGGAGCTGTGTAGGAGGGGCTGCAGGAGATATTAAGGGGGAGATGGAAGGACTTGTCAGGTTCTTCCTCGCCCTTCAGCGCTCTGCTGAGGGCAGTATCTCCACTCTGACCAAAATGTTGGCTCCTTGCTGGTCTTCAAAGCCCTGCCAGGAGCCTGCCCCGCTCAGGGAAAGCCCCACAGCCCTCAGGCTGTTCCCCATCCCCAAAGCCAAGCTCTGCTGTTGGTGACTTACGTGTGTCAGGGTGGGCAGGGGCTTCCGAGCTGGGGCTGCTCGTCCCTTCTCCTTCCAAGATGGACCTTTCCCGCTTCTCCTTCTCTGCAAAAGAAGAAGAGCCCGTCACTGCCCATGGATGCTCCCTGCAAGCTTTTAGGGAGGGGAGACAGCTAGGATGCTAGGATAGGCCACCAGGTCTCCTCCACCCACAGCAGCCCAGGCTCTGGGTGCATTTTATAATCTTGTGGAAGGTGAAAGCAAAAAAACCCCAACAGCGGCAGAGCTGAGGTAGCACAGAGCAAACACCAGGTCCTTCACATCCCACCGGCCAGACAGGAGTGGGGCCAAAACTCAGCTGGATTTACAAAGCTGCTGAGAGAAACCTGGAAGACGCCTTAAATCACAGCAGAGTTTGGACCAACTTTCACAGCAGCCTGGAAATTTGAAGGGCGAGGGGAAAAGGCACTTGAAAGCTGGAAAAAACCCAAGGTCATCCCTTGAACTTTCACATGAGGAGCGGGAAGAGGGGAAAAAAAACTCACCTTCCTTAGCTGCTTGCCAGAGCTCAAATGCGATTTTGAAGGCCTGGGCTACGGTGAGGGTGACTGCTTGTGCCTGGAAAGACATCGGTGAGGCAGCACGTTAATCCTGGAGTGGACTGAAATCGTTTGGAGGTGTTGGTTTTTGCAGATTGATGTTAACCTGGATCCAACCAGCCCTCTGCTCCGCACGCTCCCCACCGGGCTGGGGAGGGGGAATCAAATATTGGTGGAACAGAGACCAGCTCCGTGCAGCACACGCAGCTCGTTGTAGATGTGTCCTTAGGGGTAATGGGAAGATGGAGGTGGCAGGGACAGGGCTGTCACAGCCATCACGCTGATGGACAGGGAGAGAAGAGCAGCTCCCCCCACACCTAAGCATGATCTAAACAAGCGCTGCACAGTCCCAGGCTTGTCCTCATGGTTCCCTGAGGGACGTGGGTCCACACTCCAGGGCTGAGCATCACCCATCCAACAGCTCCCCCCACACCTAAGCATGATCTAAATAAGCACTGCACGGTCCCAGGCTTGTCTTCATAGCTCCCTGAGGGATGTGGGTCCACACTCCAGGGCTGAGCTGAGCATCACCCACCCAACATCCCTGGAGGGGTTCAAGGCCAGGTTGGATGGGGCTTTGAGCAACCTGGTTTAGTGGGAGGTGTCCCTGCCCAGGGCAGGGGGTTGGAACTCAATGATCTTTAAGGTTCCTTCCAACCCAAACCATTCTATGATCCCAAAGGATAGCCCAGGACAGATGGCTGAGCCCTGGACAGGCCACTGTTGGCCCCACCAGTGCTGGGGAGGGATGTGCAGAGCTGTGGTCCATCCCCCCAGCACCACGCACGAGGATGCTCCAACTGCAGAAGGTAAAATGCCAGGAATTTGCAGGTCTCTCCAACAGGGAGCAATCTCGGAGGCAGGACAAGAGAGACCCCAGGGTCTCCCCATGGCCCCCCAGCACTAAACTGGGGTCCCACTGGCTTAGACCAACAGCGTGGGTTTGTTTTACAACAGCCAGGGATGGAGCAGGAGCAGGGACACCTTCCCCTTCAGTCCCTCCGTTCCTCCCCAAGCCGAGAGCTCGAGCAACATTAAAAAAAAACAAAAACCCACCGCCTTAAATAGCCCGAGTTGCTGGAGATGTATAAATAGTGACATAAATGCCAGTTTCATTAGGAGAAGGCATAAGGAGAAGAGCAGGGACACCTTCCCCTTCAGTCCCTCCGTTCCTCCCCAAGCCGAGAGCTCGAGCAACATTAAAAAAAAACAAAAACCCACCGCCTTAAATAGCCCGAGTTGCTGGAGATGTATAAATAGTGACATAAATGCCAGTTTCATTAGGAGAAGGCAGAGCTCATGAGCAGTTTAAGTGCGAGGAGATAACGAGTAACACTCTGCAAGGCTGGGGCGCCGCAGCATCCTCCAGGCGTGAGTTTGTTTTAAGAAGTTGTGAACTAAACAAACCCAAATCTGGGTCCGTAACCCAGGGCCCCCGGCAGCTGGGGGGGATGGAGATGTGGGGGGAGCAGGAACGGAGCACCAGGGTCCCCCAAAAAGCCAGGGAGGGGGCGAGGAGACCCAGCAAACCCATCGCTGCCAATTAAGCCTCGCAAAGCCGGAGAGCTCATTTGAATGTCGGAGCTATTTACATCTTTGATGGAAGTGCAAACGCTTTATGGCAAAAACTTAAATATGGTAATTAAGTATGAAACTCCTCACAGCTGTTTACAATTTAAGCTGTCACATCTGAATCAAGTTTAATAGACCCAGCTACCGTTGAGAATTACCCATGAACTAAAAATATGGACTAATTATATGCCCGTGACTGGTAGCTGTGCTCACATTAAGGGACCCTGCCCTGGGGCAGGGACGGTCCCTGGTCCAGGAGCAGGACATCACCTCACCAGCACGACGTTCACGCGTCTTAAATTCCTAGTTTTTGCCACAAAAGGCCTTGGAGAACTTTATTTGGAGGGAGAGGCACCGAGCTGATGTACCACTGAGATAATTCTTTTAGCGCTGGAGAGATTTAAATTTTAATTTGCCGAGTGAGGCTTATCTTTGCCGTGCAAGGATGGGAGAGCACACTGAGAAAAGGAGAGACAACTTGTAGCTTCTATTATTCTCTCCCCGGAAAAAAAAAAAGAGCAAGCCAGGAGAAGTGCAGAATATTAACAGAGCTGCCTCGCTCTCCGGGCACGGGGATGCTCCTGAGGACCCAGGAATTGCTGCACCGGGATGTACCGGGGGGGAACGGCTCTCGGGAAGTTGTTTCCCTGCAGATCCAAGATGTCCCACTCCCTGCTCAGGGAAGGATTTCTTGGGCAGAGGGATCTGACCTGCCCTTCCTCTCCCCTAAAGCCCCTTCCTGCTGCGGGGAGGGGGCTCAGCCCCAGCTCTGTCCCCACTGGAGAGACCCCCAGGGTTTTCCTTCCCCCATTTGCAGCCAGTGACCCGTTTCTCTCCCTCCCCAGCTGGTTCCCTGCCCATCCTGATGCACTGAATCAGCAGGAAAAAGCCCCACGAGCGGGTTCAAAGCAAGAGCCAGAGACAGTTTTCTACACACAGGTCTCTGCCCCGACCCCAACAGGCAGCGGGGTCCCCCTGTGCTGCTCCCACAGGGAGGACACGGCCCCGTCTGCAAAGACGCCGCTAAAAATTGGACAGGGGAGCTCCAACGGCAAGAAGTGGATGGAAGCCAGGGCAGCCAGCCCAGAACCGCTGGCTAAATGCCTCCCCATCAACGAGGCTGCCTCTGGGCACCTCGCTGCCAGCCTCCCCAGGGACCTCCCCGTCTGCCAAAGCCTCTCCCCTCCCCGGGCTCAGCCCAGGAAAGCTGATGCTGAGCAGGGAATAATCCCAGCAGCCAGGATGGCAGCAGGGCAGGGATTTTTTCAGGTGCCAATGCAGGGCCAGGTCCTCTCACCCCCACCACAAACCTTGGGGTGAAAAGGCTTTTACCTGCAAAACAATGGGTTGAGTCCAGCCCGGAGCTGTGCCCACTCAAGAGCTGGGCACTGGGAGCATCACTGGGATTAAACACTCTGTGGTGATGGCAGAAGGAGGGTGGGTGCTCCCCCAGGACCCACGGCTGGGGCAAGGAACCCCCTGGCTCTAACTAAAGGTGTTATCTCACCGGCACAGCCCCCTCTCTGCCTCCTCCTCCTCCTCTTCCTCCTACAGCCACATCCCCATTTCTTCCTCTGGACTGACCATTTTCCGTTTGGTACAGAGGAAGGCATGGCACTCCAGGTTCTCATTGAGCTGGTTCTGGGCAATGTAGGCAAACACTTTATCGTGGATCTTGTCTGCCGTGCAGTAGGATATCCTGAAAAGACAGAACGAAACGTCTTGTCCGGGGCACTGTGAGCAAAGGAGATCAACCAAACCCCTCCTCTGACCTGCCAGCAAGCACCTCCCCAGGGCTTCCAGCTCTGGGACCAAGCAGGGAAGGCAGAGGGAGCAGAGGAGCGTTACCAGGTTTGAATCCAACTCCTTCCCAAAGCAGGGGAGTCGATGCCACCGGTTTGAGGGTTAAGAAAAGCCCAGAGCAACTTCCACAGCCACCACATGAAGCACGTGCATCACACACAGAGGCAGGAGAGAAGAGAAGATGTTTGGCCTCGTGGGAAAGGAGAGGTTAGAGAAGGTGAAGACTCTGCGGTGCGCCAGCCGAGGACTACGCCTGACAAACACTCTGTCTCCAGAAGAGAGACACCAGAAGGTTTTCCTTGGAGGATAAGCTCACAAGAAGAGAGAAAGACTTCTTCTCAGCCTATGATTTAATCCTGAGGCTCAAACTAAGGAAAAAAATTGATGCAGAGGTGTCCAAGAAAAGCTGAAATTCAGGCTCTGGGATCTGCAGTAGCAGATGCACGGGATGCTCCGAGACCCCTGAGCACATGGAATGTGGGGAAGGAGGCTTAGCCTCCTCCATGAGCATCCCCAGGATGGACGTGTCTCTCCCAGCCCCTGAATGGGAGAATTCCAAACTCTGAAATGCCAAACAATGCTCTGGAAGAGCAACAGGCTGATCTGTCTGGGATGAGCAGGCTGGGACCGAGAGCTCATCTCCCTTCTGCAGGGCAGCAGGTCCCTCAGCATCTGCCATCTCCCACGGGTCGGTCCCTGCCAGGAGCTGCAGGACTGAGGGTCTCATCTGAAGCCAGAGAGCACAGGTTGGAGCAGCCTCAGAGGTTTAGTGCAAGGCAACAGGCACCAGCAACGAGCAAAGCCCCTTCCCTGGGCACACCATAGATCCCACAGGTGTTAAGGAAAGAGAAAACCCGAGGAGAAAGTGGGACACTTCAGTGAAAGTTTCCCCGTGACCCCACATCGCCCCTTCAGCTCCCGTTCTTGCAGGGAAGGGACTGGAAGGTCCCAGTTCCCAGCAGATGCTGGGACAAAGCCATGGGAGGTCATCTGCGCAGGCGCGTGGCCGCCTTCCAGCAACCCCAAGGGCTCAGCTCCCATGAATTTCCAGGGAAAGGACAACTCTCACCCATCTCTGGGGTAAGTTCAGGACAGAGGCCTTTGCAGCAGCATGTTTGGGGACAGTGGCTGCATTTTAGCTGTGACCCCCACCCCCCCTTCCTGCCCAAGCACCCGATCTGGGGTGAGAGCTCAGAGCTAGCATCTCCCCAGTGAGTAGAAAAGCCAAAGAGAAGACTTGAAGAGGTGTTAGAGGAAAGCCCTGGGACCTCCACGCTCACAGAGCTGGGAGATGACACCCCCCACGCACACAGACCCCAACTTTTTGACCCACAGCACCAGCATCTCCGGGGAGCAGCATCGGTCCCCACGTCAACAGCCTATTTAGGATACACTGACTTCAGCCCACTGAACCAAGGGCGCTGCCCGGGAGGAACAGCTTTATCTCTGGCTGGTACAGCATCTGGGCAGAATTTCAGGCAGCATCTAAAAAAACCCAGCCCCACGGCTCTGCCTGCTCCTGCTACACCAGCCAAAGAGAAGACTTGAAGAGGTGTTAGAGGAAAGCCCTGGGACCTCCACGCTCACAGAGCTGGGAGATGACACCCCCCACGCACACAGACCCCAACTTTTTGACCCACAGCACCAGCATCTCCGGGGAGCAGCATCGGTCCCCACGTCAACAGCCTATTTAGGATACACTGACTTCAGCCCACTGAACCAAGGGCGCTGCCCGGGAGGAACAGCTTTATCTCTGGCTGGTACAGCATCTGGGCAGAATTTCAGGCAGCATCTAAAAAAACCCAGCCCCACGGCTCTGCCTGCTCCTGCTACACCAGCGCTGACCCCATCAGCTCTGCTCTTTGGCAGGGCTTTATCTCCCGGGCTCAGCACCGGTGGCCACACGTGGCTGCGTGGTTTGAAGGGGAGAAAAGCAAGCGGGTTAGTAACCTGGTTAGAGAGAGTCCCCCCAACCCAGCACCCCCCCAGCAAAGGGGGGCAAGAGCAGCAGGCGAGGGACAGAAGCAGAGCATGGGGGATGGAGAGGGAGAAGGAGGAGGAGAGGGAGAAGGAGGAGGAGAGGGAGAAGGAGGAGGAGAGGGAGAAGGAGGAGGAGAGGGAGAAGGAGGAGGAGAGGGAGAAGGAGGAGGAGAGGGAGAAGGAAAGCTCTGCTCTGCCAGACCTGCACCTCTGGAAGAAACACTTGCCAAAGCCCAAGGAGTGGATGTGGGATAATCCATCCTCACCCTCCCCACACTGGTATTGGGTCTCAGTGACTGTCCCAGCCCTGATCTTTGTCACAGAGCAGCCAGGGAGGGGAGGGCATCCTGGCTCCAGCATCCTTGCCCACTGGGAGATGCTCTGACCTTCCTCCGTGCTCAGCTCTTGCTGTCACCCTGGCTGCTTCAGTGTTTCCATCATGCACCTCTGGAAGAAACACTTGCCAAAGCCCAAGGAGTGGATGTGGGATAATCCATCCTCACCCTCCCCACACTGGTATTGGGTCTCAGTGACTGTCCCAGCCCTGATCTTTGTCACAGAGCAGCCAGGGAGGGGAGGGCATCCTGGCTCCAGCATCCTTGCCCACTGGGAGATGCTCTGACCTTCCTCCGTGCTCAGCTCTTGCCGTCACCCCGGCTGCTTCGGCGTTTCTATTGCCAAGAGCAGGCAGTAAAGCCCCACATGGCCATGGAGTGCAGTCTGCACACACACCCCCCACCTCCAGGCTCGTCACACCTTTCCTTACCCCCAGCTGAACACTGACTGCATCAGACCTAATTTTACCTTAAATTTAACAGCCGCCTCCTTCCCCACACCTCTGTAAGAGGCGATGGCCAGCGAGGTGTCACCTCAGGCTGGGTAGGGACCAGAGTCTGCCCAGGTGAGGGGCAGCACAAGAGGCTGTGACACCAGCACGAGGGGCTGTGACACCAGCTCCTCACCCTGTCAGGAGCAGAGGGGAACCCTGGGGACGTGCAGCCCGTGACCCACCTGTATATGGAGACATTCTCAATCAGCTCGTTGGTTCCGCTGTCGTTTAACACGATCCCTCTGGGCGAGACTTTCAGAGTCACTTTCTGCAGCTTCTTGCCACTTGCTTTTGCCTTTGGAAGGAGAAGAGGGAGAGGAAAGTTACAGGCTTTGACCACGGATACATCCAAAGGTACATAAGCAGAGCGGAGACTCCAGGTAGGTGCACCTAATAAGCATATTAATAGCACTCGTTAGTACTAGAGACCAAATTTACTACCAGGTGTGATAAGGCACTCATTAAAACTTTTCCTTCCCTGAAGCAGTGATTTTTCCTGGCGTTAATGAGACAAGGACACACACCCTCCACCCCACAGGGAGGTATTTCCAGCCCAGCACCTCCATGAAGATCTCCCCACAGCCGCCAGCACGAAGCAGAGGCTGCTCCAGCCGAGTTCTGTGAGCTCTTGGTGAAACCCTGGGGGGGTTTATCTCTAGGGCCAGCTCTGGACCAGGGGGGGGACACCAACAGGAAGAGGGGAGAAGGACGGTGCTGCAGGATGTCGGCTCCCAAAAAGCTGGCTGAACCCCAGTGGAATAGCAAAACATCCCCCACGCCAAGGGCAGGACAGCAGCTTAAAAGGTAACTAGACTTCTAAGGACCACTTTCTCTTATTTACTAGTCTCTAGTGCTTTCAGGCTACATTCAGCTCGCCGCCCAGCTTCTCCCTCAAAAAAATAAAAATAAAAGTAGAGAGCTAACTCGCTGCAGACCCGGATCCTCAGCCCTGCTCCCTGGGGATCTCGTTTGGGCTGTATCCAGCCTGGCTGGCGGTCGGTCCTGCCCCTCCAAGGCTTTTATTTCAAGGCTCTGGCTCGGGAAGGGCTTTGCCAGCAGCTCCCGTTTCTGCAGGGAGGGATGGATCCGTCATTACCCGGCGCAGTTCCCCACCCCATTGAGTTTTACGGCTGTTGACTGTACGATCGGGTCTCTGCCTCGTTCAGTTTTATAAGGGCTTAAAGAAGCGTTAATTTTACTCAGAGCCCGGTGAGCAGGGGCTCTGGGGAGGCTCGGTGCGAGAGGGATGGCTTGGAAATGAGTCCCTCCTGCATCAGAGGTTACTGAGGGAGGGTTGGGTGGGAATCTGGGAAGCAGAGCGAGCTGTCCTGTCCCGATTAAACCTCCAAATCCCAGGAAGGGAAACCCAGGGCTGTAACACCAGCTCTCGGCCATGCACTGGCTGAACTCACACTGCTTTTCCCCCATCTGACAGGCTGAAGGAGCTGGGGTTGTTCAGCCTGAAGAAGAGGAGGCTCCGGGGAGACCTAATAGCAGCCTTCCAGTACCTAAAGGGAGCCTACAGGAAGGCTGTTTACAAAGGCCTGCAGTGACAGGACAAGGGGCAATGGCTTCAAGCTGGAGGGGAACAGATTTAGACTGGAGATGAGGAGAGGGTTCTTCACTGGGAGGGTGGTGGAGCACTGGAACAGGTTGCCCAGGGAGGTGGTTGAGGCCCCTTCCTTGGAGATATTCAAGGAGAGGCTCGACGAGGCCCTGGGCAACCTGGTCTAGTTGGGGGTGTCCCTGCTGACTGTGGGGGGGTCGGACTAGATGGCCTTTGGAGGTCCCTTCTGGCCTGGGCAATTCTATGATTCTATGATCTTGCAAGAGGAGGGACGGCCCTGGAGAAGGCTGATTTCACCAGGTCAGTGGGTTCCTTCCACACCCAGGGTCACCCAAGCTTATCATGGTGAGCCAGAGCCCAGACGTGTCACACCAGTTGTCTGCACCCTGCCCCAGCCACAAGCCAGGGCTGGTCCCAAGGGCTTCCCAGTGCTGCTCTCTGCATTTCTACCTACACCACCAGATGCCTCCTCACCCCTGGAAGGGCTGGACCTGCCATCATCCAGACACCCCGTGGCCTGCAGATGGGACAGCTCTGCCTCCAGACCTGTTGGCTTTTGGAAGTCCCCCCAGTGACAGACCTGTATGACCAGCAGGAGCCAGGGCTCTGCCCCAGCACGGACACTCACGGTGGCCACGATCCTTTTGACGGCGGCCGCAGAAAGCTCCTCTCCCTTGGGCTGCTCCACCAGCGTCATGCCCATGTACTTGAGGCTGAAGAGCATCCCTTCCAGCAGCGTCTCACGGGTATCCGTCCAGTTCTCCGGGAGCTCTGGAGAGACAGCAAAGAGGCTCTTGGATTCCCAAAGGCACAAAGGATTCCCCTTGCCAAGCCCTGAAGGAAGGTTTGGGTAGGAGCAGGGTGTTGGTTTAGCTACTGCCCGGCCCCCTGTGCCCGAGCAGCTGGCAAAAGGGGACAAAAGCAACCCCCCAAATTTTTTTCCACGAGCCACAGCAAAGAGTAGTGACCCTAAAGGGTCCCATCAGCTCCTCAGTTTAATAGTGAGTGCCCAGGTCCACCCCATAACCAAGGGGACCCTGAGCATCAGCCCCAGCCTGGAGCAGGGAAGGGCTCGGTGCCACCCCATGCCCGGCAATAACCTTCCCCTGCACTAACCATCACCTTCCCACAGAGGCTAAGAGGGGATTTGCCAGGAGCTAAGCCCACGCACAGCTGCAGGGACCCAGGTGATGTGCTGCCACTTGCTAAATCGGTCACCACCAGCCCCCAGGAGCCCATCGAGGGGGGGAAGCTTCACCAGGGAGAGGTCTCTGCTCTCCCTTGAGATCGCCAAGGAGGCCACCAGCCTCTTCCCTGTGGCACGCTGGGGTGGGTGGGAAGGAGGGTCCAAAACTGGAAGTTGGGTGGATATTTCTAAACCTGAAATTACACTGTGGGATCCGATCTAATCTCCAGACACGGAGCTGGTAACCCAGGATCTGCAGCTCTCCTGTTTAAGGAAGATCTTGCTTTGAGCAGGAGGCAACAAACCAAGGTGCCCCACGGCCCCGGGGGAGCAACGGGGCTCCTGGAGAGGAATATCTGCTCGCTGCAGACAAAACATGGCCCTGAAGGCTTCTCTGCTCTGTATTCAGCCTCCAGGCAGCGGGGCCAAGCTCTGCAGCTCCCTGCAAACCTGGAGCAGCAGGGACTGGGGATGAGGAGAGGTGCCCCTGGGGTAACCCCCGGTGACTCAGCCTCCCGGGGAAGGCGAGATGGCAGATAAGCCATAAATCCCTGCACCACTCCCTGCGCCGGGCGTGGGTGCCGAGCGGTGAACCATCCCGGTGAACCATCCCGGGGCTGGCTGAGGTGGAAGTGACGGAAGGTGGGTGGGTGGGAGACAGAGAGTTCCTGGGAGAGCAGGGACCCCGGTCCTGACACACGGCAGCAGGTCCCAACCCTGGAGATGGAAAGGAGAAACCAAGGAGGGGAGGGAATGCTGCATTCACCTCGCATCCCAGCTAGGAACAGAGGGTGAGAGGGAAAATCCGGGGTTTCTCCAAAGACAAGGGTGCTGCCACTGTCCTCCCACCCTCGGTGGCCAAAGCTGGGTGAGGACACTGGGGTGGAGGGCAGCTTGTATACGACCTGCCCACCCCCTGCCTTGCTCGCCAGGCACAGCACGTCCTCCCCCCGGTGCCGTACCCCACACAGGGCAGTTCAGGGCCTCACCAAGGACGGGGGGCCCCCCCGTCCCGAGCACCCCACACGGCCTGGAACGATGCTACAGCTCGACCCGGGCTGGGACGGAAACAGGGGTGGTTTAAGCGGGGCCACTGAAACGCTTTCAGAAAGGAAGGAGCAGCTGAAGCAGCACAGACAGACGGACGGACGGACGCCCCACCGTGCACCCCGTTCTGCACCGCTCACCACCACCACCTCACCCCTGGGTCCTGCCCCCCAGCCCCTCTGTATCCTACAGCCCTTGGCCATTAATCCAAGCCAAAAAAAAAGGTGTAACGACACCGGGTCAGTCTCATCAGATGAATAAAATCAAGAAGTTTGATCTCGCCCGCAGGAGACAAGGGGTGCAGGCAGGATGAGGGACCCCCCCGCTGCCCACCGTGATGCTTGGGGCTCCATGGCAGGGTAGGGGTCAGCCAGGCTGGTGTCCCCCCCCCTTCCCTGGTCACAGCAGCAGGACGCCTGGCAGTGGCCGAGTGGCCACTTGCCATGGGGCTATCGATCGTGTGTCAGAGCCAGCGGTGGGACGAGGCCAGAAAC